GACTGCATTAAAAGCTGTAGAATTACACATCAGACTGTTCATGGTAAAATTTGCAAAATTGGGTCAACCGTAGGGGAGGGGAGAATTGAAATGCTTGTTAATAACCTAATGGGTCTGCTGATAGTGACAGTGACTTGTGTCAGTATCAGTCATCTTAATTTGGTTACCTGTGTCCCCCTACCAAAAAGTAATGGATGTTACCTGATGTGATTTCTCTGTGGTGTGAGTTGTGGATGTGTGAAGTTACCATTCATATTGTACCATGTTTTGAGCCGGGCTGCTAAAAGGTTCTGCTGTGCATTAAATATCCTCCATCCTTCCTAGATTATACAATCACATTCAGCTATCAAGTAACTTGATGTCTGGCTGTGACTACTCGCTCTTTAAGGTAAGAGTGCTTTTATCACCGTCATTCGACATTGTAGGACCACTTAAAACTGTGAAATGTCTTAGCTTTCACTATTTATAAATATTCCCGTTAATTCAGGGGGGCTGGACAGAGAAACACTTTCAGTCTGTGTCCAGGGCTGTAGTTCAGAACTGAAAGCTATTTTCTTTTGGTACATTGTAATTCTGACCTATTTAGAGCACACACTTTGTTATTACAAAGGAACCAAGACTATTAAGCATGAAGCATGGGGTATGTATTTGCACTTACATGCTGACNNGGGGGGGGGGGGGGAGAATCAAAACACAGTTTATTTCAGATCCCAGCAGCAAGTCAGGCTGCACTTCACTTTATCTTCTCTGGTGGCCACAAAGAGCCTATGAATAAAGAGTTAGTTATGAGCATCAGTCAAGGCTGAAATTGGATCTCATCTGTCATAAATAATGTTGGACAGTTACCAATATGCTAACAATATGCAGCAATATGGCGAGGAGAAATTACTGCTGTCAGACGAGGGTGGTTGCTACTGAGGTTTTCCTTATTCTTAATGAGGAAGTGTCACAATACAGTGAAGAAATGTATTTGCACTTACATGCTGACATTGTTACCAAATCTAACCATAGACAAAACGAGACATGAGATGTTTCTTCAGTTTTTGTAATCAGCAGATGTCTTGTGTAGTCACTTGTGTGGCTGTCTGGCCCACGTCAGAGTTTTATTGGCAGCCTCACTGATACATTTTGTGTTTAAACCTAACCAAACAAGTTAGTTGTGTACAAAGAGAGAGTAGAGACGCTCTAATTCACCACACCCAAATCAACAGAGCACAATGCTGTTGGTTGACCCTCCTAAGTTGTAGTTTAAGTATCCAAGAACAGACTTTTGTTGTTCCTACACATATCTTTTTTAGAGAATCCAGCTGACAAACATTAAAAGCAACAAATCAGAACAGACAATCATTAGAATTCACTTATTTCCTGTTTTCAGACAAACAAGGATTTAATATATTAATGTTTCTTATGTGTAATACTTACTTCAGTCTAGATGGACATTTATGTATTTAATAAGAAGCACAAAATCCATTCTGTTATGCACTTTTAATATCTTGTGGTAATTATTTTCCTCCATGTTTGACTCTAATAGATTACTGTTTTCTTCCTTTTAGTTTTGATCCCATCCATGTTCTGCCTGAATTATAGCTCCATACAGTTCGGTGTCTGGCACACAGTTGAGAATGGGGTCAAACCAGACAGAAATGCATATCCAAACTGGTACACACGGTCAATCTAGAGCGTGTCTCTTTTATCGAGTAGAGTAATTTATCAGTATGTATCGTTAACATATTAATTAGTATTAGATGTAAGGCTTATAAATTATGCTTTTAGAACATCAAGCGTGAGACTTCTTTCTGTACTATCTAATTAGTGGTGATGCTATGTGCACTGCTTCTAAAGGGAAACTGATTAAAGCCTGTGTTCATTGTGGACACGTTATATATGGATATTTATAGTGTTGTGAACTTTGACCTTTTATTTGGACACAGGATGGGATTGAGCCCATGTGGGAGGATGACCAGAATCGACGAGGTGGCCGCTGGCTCATAACTCTGTCCAAGCAGCAGCGTAAAGCTGACCTGGATCGTTTCTGGTTGGAGACGGTATGTTAAGTCCTGTCGAGTATCGGCTACTTTAATGATACCATTCTTAGTCTTATCTGCAGGCCTCTTTCAGGCGAGACATTTTGTCACACAGGTGTAAATAATATGAATGTTGGCTGAGTATCATTTAGCTGCTTTGGTTTCAGGGTCCTGGTGTTGTGCGTGCTGGCTTACTGGGACTATTGTTGATGTTATTAGTAACACCTGTGCTTTTCCACCTCTTATAAGTTTAAATGTCTGCTTTAAAAAAAAAAAAAAAAGGCTTCTAACTGCCACTGAAAATGAACTGCTCCCCAATAACAAGGCATTTGTTTCTCCTGCAGCTCTTGTGTCTTGTGGGTGAGGCGTTTGATGACTACAGTGACGATGTGTGCGGAGCCGTCATTAACGTTCGAGCCAAAGGAGATAAAATAGCAATATGGACCACAGACTACGAAAACAAAGACGCCATCACACACATAGGGTGACCTGAAGATGCAATTTATGACTACTATTAATAACGAGAATCAACAATGCATTAACTCATAGTAAAGGGAATATTTTCTTAATTACTATATAACATCTGTACCCTTTTTAGACATATAAAACTTTTAAAGTAGTAATTTTAGTCCATATTTTAACCTCAATAGTTGAAATGGGTTAAGATTTACACACTAGCACAGTGGTAGATATGTCTGTAGCCTCACAGATGGGTAAATAACCCCAGTATCACGTTTCAACTTTTTAGAGCTGTGTAAGAAATCCCTCTGGGGCAAAATATGTCAGAGATACAGCATCAGTGGACACCCAAAGTAGTTTGTAGTTAGTTTGCTGCAGCGGGATAATAGAGATAACATTGGCAAGGATAATTTATAATCTATGATTTTCATATGTAATTATGAATATTTAGAAATGTTTGTGTGTGTATTTGCTAATACGCGTGTCTTGCCCTTTTAGGCGTGTGTATAAAGAGAGATTAGGCGTTCCGCCAAAAGTGATCATCGGATACCAGTCGCACGCAGACACAGCCACAAAGAGCGGCTCCACAACCAAGAACAAGTTTGTTGCCTGAGGACCGTTAACCAGGCTCATCAGCCATGCTCTTTTCTTTTGCCAGCATAGATTTCTAGTCATTTTTCCATGAATGTAACTGACATGTTTATCCACTAACAAACATTTGAAGTGGAGATAAAATGGACTCCTTTTTGTTTTCTTATTTGTTGCCACTTTACCAAAGCTTTTGTTTACGGTGACAGTATGTGCAGTTGAAATGTAGCACTATTGTTTGAGAACTTTGTTTTTTTTGGTGGTGGGCTGGAGATGAGTAAAGGATGTTTTGATGCCCTGATTTCATTTTCAAATGCAGCTGCATAATTGTGGAGAATTTATTTCATTTATCCACCCCTTAGTGTATAGCAATAAGTTTTTCTTAAAGTACCTAACATTAAAGGCAAAAAACTAAGTAAAACATTTTCTACTTTGGTATAAATATATTTGTTAGTACCGTACGTGGAACTCAGTTTACAGTATAAATGTGTGGCTTTATTGCACAGTTAGTTGCACGGTGGAATTTTCAACCATGCATTGTGAATCCACGTCTTCTGAAAGTGAAGAGAACTGAACCAACAAATCGATAGGAAACTTTTCAGCAGTCACACCTTGTGCAGTTGTTTATTTTTTATTTTTTGTCATTTTGACAAATTATTTAAAAGTCACTTTATTGCCAGTATTGCAAATAGGAGGTGTTTGTTTGAACTGTTTCAAGCAGCTTGTGCAATATGTGACAAATTAAAATTTGTTGACCATTTTGAAGAGCCGAAAATATATTTAAAGTTACTCGTGGTGCTTCAGAATGAGTGTCTAAAGATTTCTACATGACTTCTTTGCAACTCAAGGGTAAACTAAAACTGTCAGGCCAAAATGGACCAGGGATCATCATTAATCTTATGTGGTACTGTAGACTTATCACCTGAGCAAGTATATAAATCCTAGCTAGTCCTACCTGAGGTGTTTTTTTACTTTTTCTCTTGCACACAAATCTCTAGGATTTTGAGTTTCAGAGGCCAGAGTGTCGCCAATGGTGAAAACAACATTTTGTACTACAATGCATATTTTCTTGTTGCGTTTTCTGTTGCGTGCACGAGCCATATTAGTGTTTTTAACACCATTTGGTGTTTTGCTACTGCTTTGATTACGTTTACGTAGTAAAATTTACATTCCAGATTTCCTTTTGTTTGTGACATAAGCAAAAATTGCATTGTTTGGAGGGATTGAACTGTGCCTTGAATGTAACACCCTGCTCCATATTTCTAAGCAGTAAATGTACAAAAATGATGTAAATAAAGCTGTACAGTGAAGTGTGTTCTCTTAAAACAAGGTTTTAATTATCAACTGATTTTGATTGTAATAGCATGCCATGTGTTTGTTTCAGAAGATTTGCATGTTGGTAGTTTAAAGGAAGAAAAGTCCTATTAATGCAGAAAACCCTTACTTTGAAAGAAGAATACATGAGAAACCTGGTTATCCACTGTTTTACCTTACACTATAGTGTTATGAAAGCTCTGTGTGCGTGCTAATAATTGGCTGCTCTGCAGTTTATTACAAATCACAACATCTGTAAATAGCTCTCTGTGACTTTCAACATTCACTTGTTGAGTAATGCAAAGTTGGCAAGCATGTTCATTAATCAAATGCTTTCTTGAGGCAGTTGGAAAGAAAAATGATAATCAAAAAAAGATCATAAAGTAACTGCTGTTTTATCTCCTTGTTGCACTGACATTGTGCGTTTGCTTCATATCTATTTAAGTAAAGGGATTTCTGTAGTAGCTGTAGCTACAGTAATTTATGTCCAGTTGGTCCCTTACCTTTATTAAGCTACACAAACTGCAGCTGGACTTAACAGGACTTTTAAGTAATCTATGACATTCATTGACTGCTACTTAAGAGCAATAGCAACAAGGCCCCTCCTGTTCCTTTGAAATAAGCCTCCCTCTAATTGAAACGATCAATCAAGGAACATTTTCACACTAGAGACAGCCTAGAGGAAATTAGCAGAGAACCACAGAATTGTCTCCAGAGGACATAAGGTGAAGAGTTTACCTCATGATGCAAAACACAACAAGCAGCCTTTGTTGAAAGCCTTTTCAGTTTTGTCAATGTTGGTGATTCAGACTATTACTGGCCACTGTTGAACAGCTCGAAATAATTCAACATTCTGTCTACCTCAGACAGAATCTATCACAGATGGAAACAACAGATAAAATCTAAAATCAAGACTCCAAGTCAGCTGGTTTCACTACTGAATTTTAAAATATGTGTTGTCACTCAAGATGGCTGACATGGTTTAATTCAGGAGAAGCTCCCCTCCACAATGGTACAAGCACTTATATGTTTCAGGCTCATAGCTTTAAAGGGACAATGTGTAGT